TGGGGTGGGATGGGCTGTTACGGGGGCTGGGAGTGAGGCACAGCTGGGCATTGGGGTGGTCCTGCCCCCCTCTGCAGCACTGGGACCCCCCCGGGCTGCTGCCAGACCCTCACCTGGGGTCTGTGATAACACAGGGAGGAGGAGACGCTGCGTGTCACCACAGGGCCGGCTGTGGGGCAAGTGTGGGACAGCAGCGAGGTCAGGGCCTGTTGCACAACCCCGTGTGCTCCTGCCATGACAGCAGCCGTGGCTGGAGGCGACTGGAGCCACGACTCTGCTCCAAGCAGGAGTTCACCCCGCGCCAGCTCCTTGGCTCACTGAGGCAACACCGGCCAGTTTTCTACGCTGTGATTTAGAGGAAGAACAAACGATCCAAGTTTGTTTTCCCAGCTGAATTAATTTTAGTTCAGCCTCTGCGTGGGATCGTGTTTGAGAGCCGAGCCAGCAGCGCGGGTCGGGTGGTGTTTATTTGCTTGGTGGAGATGTTTTCCTGGCTGGAGCAGCAGCCCCCCGAGGGTGGCCGAGGGCAGGTTGGCAGTGGGGGGCTGCATGGCCAGAGCCACCGTAAATATTATTGTGCTCTTGTCCTGCCTGGAGGGAGCACGATCCTGTGGTGTGTCCTAGGGTGTGGATCCTGTGCAGAGACAGGGATTTGGGGGAAAAGAGTGGCAGGGCTGGTTATCTTCAGGGGCACTGTGGCCCCTGAGCCCCCCTCAGCAGCTGAAGGTTGGGGTGCAGAGGGGCAGAGGGACTCAGTGCTGGAGCAGAGGGGCAGGATAGAGTCCCTTCCAACTTGGAATATTCTGTGATTCTGTGATACTGGAGCAGAGTGTGGGGGCTCTCGCAGCCGTGGCAGGTTCCATGTCCTGATTGCTCCATAGGGCTCTCTGGGATGGGGTTCCTGGTGCACCCCATCAGTGTTATCCATGCTCGTGGCATCTGCAGGCAACTGGGGGCAGAGTGGTCCCCAAAGCCTGGGCACACACCTGGATGCAGCGTGGTGGGAAGGAGCCCCAAAGGGGTGGGAGAGCACCAACCCCGTGGGGCAGGGGGGCTTCTTGCTGCCCTCTGCACTGCTCTGGCTTCCACGAGAAGGGAGACAAAGGCTCCATCCCACTGAGCTGGAGGACACAGGCGGGCTCCCCTGGGGACCTCACAGCCCCTTCCCTCCTGCCTGCCAGCTCCCCCCTCCTCCCCATTTTTCTCCGGTGAGTCAGTGGTGGTAAAGGGGCAAGCAGGGAGCTGCTGCCTGTTCTCTGCCTCCTGCTGCTGCCTGTTCCCTGCCTCCCTGCCTCCCGCCGCAGGAGCTGCCACTGCGCGGGGAGCAGGCAAGTCGAGGCAGTGCCGAGCAGGCAGAGATGGATGTTTGCAGCTGAGCCCGACCAAACCTGCTGCTTGCAGGAGGCACAGGCCTGGCCAGGAGGGGGACAGGAGCTGGGATTTTCTCCTCTGGCTCTCCCCAGATGAGGAGCAGCATCGAGGGAGCTGGGCTGACACCCACTTGCAGCATTACTGGTCCAGGGATGAACAGTCCCGGCCGTGTTCCTGTGGGGTCTCAGCTCCGGTCTCTCCCTTGTGCAGCCCTTCCCATTCCCACCCCTGTGTCTCCAGCCCTGCTCTGCCAGCACAGAGAGGAGCAGGAAGAGCTGAAGGCGAGGTGCCTGGAGTTCCCTGTCCCTTCCTATCACTGTGCCTTACTGCAGGGATGCTCTGCTACCTCCGCACCATCCCTGTCACAGGCAGCAGCCAATACCAGCTCTGAGTCAGGGAGACCATCCTTGAGAGAGTGCCTGGTGCTGAGAAACCTCTGGCTCTTTCTCTGGGAGAATCCCGCTGCCACATGTGGACGAGGCACGTTGTGTCAGCCGAGCCCAGAGGGGACAGGGTGATCCAGGATGTATTGCAAGGAATGCACAGGCACAAGGGCCGGGACACCAGCCCGACCGGGCGTGTTGCTACCGGCACCAGCTGCAGCTGCAGCAGCTTCCCCAGCCCACCAAGGCCTGCAGCCTGTGCCACGGGATCAGGGCTCTCTCCCTCCTGGATTCTCCCTCTTTCCCTGTCCTGTTTGTGGCAGGTTTCACTGTGTGTTGACAGAGCCAGGGGCGAGGCTGGCTGGATGAGGATGATGCGGTAGCGAAGGTCGCAGGGAGTGGGAGGGGAAGCGGAGGCTGCTCTTCACACGCTGCCACAAGGCTCCTCCGTGGCCAGGATAATCCCGGCTCTGCCCTGGATTATCCTTTGAGAGATTGCAGGCAGCCATGCTGAGCTCTTCCTGCCCCGACCGCAGCGATGTCACACTCAGGAGGGGGACGCAAGTGTTGTCAGCGAGGGACGTTCCCCAGGCCCTTTGTGTCCTTGTGGGCAATGGGCCCGTGAAGGAAGGTGGAGCAGGGACAGGGTGTCTGCCAGCACCTGGGAATGTCCTCACAGCCCTGGGAGCAGCTTCCATGCGTGCTGCCATCGGCAGACCCACGGGGCTGAAGCTCAGCCGTGCCTGGGCCCTGCACCAGCAGCACAGGGGGGACTGTCCACCTTCACTGCGGGGGCTCCCAGAGCTCCTGGTGCCATGAAGGGGCATCCCGAGTGCAACCCCATCCATACAGGCAGAGATGGAGAGCTGGACCCTTCCCTGTGGAGCCAGGAGCAGTGTCCCTCGGCTGCCACCAGCCATGGCCCTCGCTGGGCTCGTGACGGGCTGCCTGGAGCGCAGAGGGCAGTGCTCAGCGCAGCACGTGGCTGCCGGCTTTGTGCTTTCTCAGCCCTTTAATTATGTCCCTTTTCCACTTGTGCTGTGGAAAGAGCCGGGGAGCGTCTGCCCGCGGCCCCCGGCACCTTCTGGGTGAGCGCGTGGGCAGCGGGGCCGATCCTGCCCGTGCTGGGGCAGGTGCTGGGGCAGGTGCTGGGGCAGGTGCTGGGGCAGGCACAGCCGGGGTGCTGCTGGTGTTGGGCGTTATGGCCACGGAGGAGTTCCAGGGAAGAAATCTCTCCTGAGCCCGGCGCTGCCTGGCTGGGAACACAAAGGTGCCCTTCACAAGGTCAAACTGTGCCTTGGGCTGCACAGTCACTTCCTGGGGTCTGCTGGGACCCTGTGTTGGGTGACTCTGCTCTGACTACAGCCCAACCTCTGTCCTGATGGAATAAACCCTGGGCACAGACTGTGGAGAGCTGGCAGGGCAAGGAATGGAGGGTTTGACACGTCGGCTCCCAGCTGGCATGAGGACACAGCTGCCTGCTGGCAGGTGCTCTTCACCTTTTGGGACAAAACGCTTGTAAAGGGGGGAAATGGGGCTGATTCCCAAGATGGCACAGGATTCCCTGGCTCCACTGCCCCGGGAGCATGGAGCAAATCCATGGTGGGGACCATCAGTGCCAGGGCTGTGCCAGTGCCTGACTGCCTGGCATTTCTGCCCCTGCCTTATGTGCCCCCGCACAGCAGCTGGAGCTACTGGTTAGACTGGTCTGAGACCTGGTTCTCCCCCAGCCCTTGTGACCATGACGTGGCCGTGCTGGACGCCCTGTCCCTAAGGACAAACACCCTTTGCCCCACCATGGCTCGTGTCCCCCTGCTCTGGGCTGAGCTGTGCCAGGAGCTGGGGGGGCTGTGGTGGGCACCGTGTCCTGGGGGGCACTGAGTGGTGGCCTCAACCCCTGGGGGGGCTGTGGTGGGCACCGTGTCCTGGGGGGCACTGAGGATGGGCAAGGAAGGGGAACGCCAGCCCTGCTGTCTGTGCTGTGTCATATCCCAAGGGCTGGTGCTTGCCGGAGGAGAAGCCTCCCAGTTCTTCCCAGTTGGCCGCACTGTTGTGGAAACGAGCAACTGGTTTGCAGCGTCCCGGGGGGTCCCAGGGCTGCGAGAAGGGGAAATCGGGGGAAATCCTGGCCGTGAGCCTGGAAGAACAGATCCCTGTGGTCCGTGCCGTGCGTGGGAGGAGGCGGGAGAGCCGGGGGAGCGAGCGGGAGGCCAGAGGAGGGGCCCCCGCTCTCCTTCTCCCGTGACCGAGGAGCGCGGTGGGCGCAGCTGGGGCTGTCCCCTCCGGCCACCGCGCAGCCGTCCCCGGGTCGGGCTTCTCCCCGCTCGGAGGCAGCTGCGCTCGAGGAGCCTCTTTGCCTGGCCGAGCATCCTCCCGCCGTGCGGATGAGGACGGAGGGAGGGACGTGGGGACCGCCGGCATCCGCCTCGCCGACCACAGCACAATAGGCTGAGCCTCCTTGGGGGGCGGCGGAGCCCCCCTTCTCTGGGGACCAGACCCTCTCCCCGGCCACCATGGTGGTTTTCATGGGCAGGAACCTCTCCTCGCTTCTGGCTTTCTTCAAGAAGAAGGGTGAGTGAGCAGCTGGGAGGGAGGGATGGAGAGAGGGAGCAGCGGCTTGTCCTTACACAACCCCTGCCCGCCAGGACCCCCGCTGGTCACCCGCAGTGGGCAGGGGGGCTGCCATCCCCGGGGGAGGGCAGGGAAGGTCACCCCAGCCCTGGCCTCGCCCGCCGGGAAGTTAATGGAATAAATCACAGCGCTCCTCTCTCCAGAAGGCAGCTCCGAGGG